GGTAGAAAAGTGGATTTTGATCCACCATGTAATCCATCTGGAAAGCGTCTGATTGGCAGTGTCTTTGTTTTTCAGTATGACAATAATCCCAAACGTATTATTTTATATTTTCCTAGCAAAATATAAAGGAATAAAGCTATATATTAGATTTAAATGCAATGAAAAGCAACAGGGATTCTAGTTATTCACTCGTACTGGATAAATTCATATTTCATGAAGTTAAGACCGTTATACCGGGCATTTGGTGGCATAGCACTTTAACATATATACATGCACTAAGAGTGATACTGTAATAGTCCAGTGTGTGCCATTTGAGTTCTAAGCTTCTGGTTGTGTGCGTCTGGCTGCAGGGGTCTGAGACCTGGACGTCATCTGGAGGACGACGACCTTGTGCCTGAACTGGCTCACATCCATCCCAGAGAGAGACCAGACTGGGAGGAAACCATCAGTGCCATGGTGAGAAACACTTTTTTAACATGGATTTTTAATTAGAAGCATCATCCATGTTTTCTTTTTCTTCTTTCTTCTTTCTTTCTTTCTTTTTTTAAACCTACCCACTTATGCTCAGAGTGAGCTGCTTGAAATATCACCCTGTGGCTGGGTGACTCCCCCTCACTGTGTGATGGTAACAGGGTGTTAAAGAACTGTTATTAACCAGGTTAATAGTGCTTGCTTGTCAGTGAGTACTACATCTGGAAAGAAATGTGGCCTGTGAAAGTAATCTGATGCAATCTTTTTTTCAAAGGAGTATGTACGTGTTCCTCGTTCCTTCATTCTGATGGGACTTTAAGTTTTTTTTTGTGTGTGTTTTGTTTTGTTTTTTAAATGCACTTAAGACACAATTTCCTGTATTCCTGTATTCAGACTGTTCCAGATAAGGAGAATATACCTTTAACCAGTAAATGACAAATGGATTAAGATTCTTATATCAAGCAGGCTTATCACCGTAAAGTTCTGCTGATTGTTGATGGTAGAATATTCAGGAGGGAAGAAATGTCATAAACTGGCTTGTTGCAACAGTGGCATCCTGTTATAGTATGATAGTGAAATTCCAGCGAGCTCCTTTAGAACCACTCATTCTCTCTCAAGTGTTTATGAAGGTAGACGTTATGGCTACAATGTTCCAATGTGACTGAATTTAAAGATTAAGAGGTTTGGTCCAATACTTTTGCCCCTATAGTGTACTTACGCTTGTTTATAATGGCATACGCTATCTGGATATCTGCATTTTATGTCCTTACCATTTAAAATAACCCTATACATCAACCCCTTGCAGTTATTGACAGTATGCCAATATTCAAAAAGCTGGACATGAGTGTAATTTATTAAAAAAACAAACAAATCAATATATTTGTACGCATTTAATGCAGGACTGTCTGTTTCTACCATCAGTTCAGCTCCATCAACGAAATACATCATTAGTATTTGCAAACATTAAAAAAGCTTTGAAGAAAAAGGAACCAAAATCCAGGCGTCTGAGGTCCAGATGAGTCCAGCCTGCAGGGGAAATTGTGCACCTTTCACTTTTGCCATGCATTTGTGTCGCCAGCTCATTTTGCTGTTTGTCAAATGTGATCTATGTAAAACCTTTAAGTTGAACTTATTGTTTTGTCCCGTGATCACCGCACTTCAGTAAAGTCTCCTGTCAGTCATTCCTGACACGTCTGATCCATGATCCAGTGAGAACACCTCCCCACCCTGTCGGCTTGTTTGCTGCCTGTCACTTCCTTATCAGTCTGTTTTTAAGCCACTGGGCCGATGGCATGTCTGTCTCTCGTATTGAAAACTGTCTCTCTTTTGCTCCCAAAAGCCTGCTGAACCTTAATGCAGACTGTTGGTGTTCTAAACTACCACACTTCAAGCTCTTCGCACAGATCGGTCATGTACTTGTCATCTGATTATTTCATCTCTCCGTGCTCGTCCCATTCACCAGACGCCATTCATTCATTATTTCCTCTCCTCTTATTTAGTTCGGGTCTTGCTTCCTGCATCGGCAGCACCGTGAAAATGAGGCCGTCTCCATGGTAACATGTCGAGCCACCCGTGGTTGGCGCGTGGTTGGAGCGGTATCACGACTGCTCATTTCGATCGGGCAACAGAGAGGAAGAGAAACATCAAGAGAAATCTGAGCAACCTATTGAATATTATTTAGAGAGGCGGAGCTTTTAATACTGCATGCGTGCGATTGTTTGCTCAGTTTGCGATACGGCTGTGTCCGCTGGGGCGCCATGCATCATTTATGTCTCCAGTGGTTGGAAGAGATGATGAAGAGAAGTGTGAACAACTTGGTGTAAGCTGTCACACCAACGCCCTGGTGCACTGTGTAGGCTAGATCATATTCAGTGCAGTGCACGAAGAACAAAACACGCACGCACCCGTGCAACGTGATCATCATCAGCAACTTAAATACCTGCAGCCTACATGACATGCAACATTCCTATTTGAGCAACGATACAAGATAATTCGGTTCGTTTTTTATTTTATTTTATTTAGATTTTATTTTGTCTTACCAACAAGCACTCGTTTATGTTCAGATACACAGAGTGTTTGTCTGCAGTGGTTAAAAAGTTACAACTGTAATTGTAGCGAGTGATGTTGGACTTGGACCTAATGGATATAGAACACAGAGGTGGGCGATGTAGCTTTAAAATGAAATCAAAAAACGAT